CTTTTCTTTTCCCTTCCCTTCCTCTCCCTTTCACATTTCTATCCTTCTCCTTCTTCTTTCTTTCTTTTCTCTACTTATTTTTTCTATTTCCTACATTTTCTTCCTTTTCTAATTCTTCTTTTTCCTCCCCTTCCTTTATCTCTACCCCTTTCTCCCTTTTCTTTTTCTCTTCTTTCCTCTAATTTCTATTCACTTTTCTTCTCTTTCTCCCTCTCCTTCATCCTATCTCATTCCTATTCTTTCTTTCTTTTTCCATTCTCTCCTCTCCTCCTATTTCCCATTTTTTTTCTTTCTTTTTTTTTCTCTCTTTTTTACTTCTTCTTCCTCCCCCCACTTTAATTCCTATATTATTCTTTCCTAATTATATTTATCCATTCATCCTCTACTTCCTTCTCTCTTTTCCTTTCATATTCTTCTTCTCTTTTCTTTATTTTATTTATTACATTCCTTTCATCTTACTTCTCCATTCCTCCTAAAAATTCTTTTTCTTCTCTTTTAAATTCCTTTTTTTCCTCTTTCCTTCTCATCTATCTTCTTTTCTATCCTTTTTTCTACCTTTCTCATTTATTCTTTCCCCTTTTTCTCTTCTTTCTATCCATCATCATTTCTTCTTACTCTTTCTTTCTTCCTTTTTCTATTTCTTTCTCTTCCCCTTACTCCTTTAAATTTTTACTTTTCCTTCTTTCTCTCCCTCTTCAAATTATTTATTTTCCAACTCCCCTCCTCATCTATCCCCCCTCTCCTCTCTCCCCCTTCTTCCTTCTTCCTTATTCTATCCCCCTCTTCTCCCCCTTTATCTCTTCTCCCCCCTTCTCTTCCTTCTTTCCCTACTCTACCTTCTTCTCCCTTTCTTTCCTTTTTTCATCTTCTCTTTTATCTCTCCCTATATTCTCCCTTCATCATTTCCTCTCCTCTTCTTTTCTTTCCTTCTCCTTCTCTCTTTTCTTTTTCTTCCTTTCCTCTTATACTAATTTCTATCCTATTCTCTTTCTATCTCATTCTCTCTTCCCTCTCCTCTCTTCCTTTTTCCTGAACTCCTCTTTCCTTCTAATTCCCCCTTTCCTACCTTCCGTTTCTTCTTCTTTTATTCCCTCTCTTCCTTCTTCATTATTTTCCTCTTATCTTTCTACTTCTTCTATGAATAATCTGATTCTCATCCCTACTTTTCTTTTCCCCTTCCTTTTCTTTCCTATCATCTCCTTATCTTTCTTATATACATATTTTTTTTTCTTCTTTCCTCTTCTTCTAAATTTCTAATTTTTCTCTCCTACTCTAACCTTCTTCTCTCTTCTCCTCCTCCCCCTCTATTCTTTCTACCTTTTTCTTTTCCTCTCATTTTTCTCTCCTATTCTCCCTCTTCATCTTTTTTTTTCCTCATTTTTTCTTCTCTTTCTTATTTCTCACTTCTCTTTCTCCCCTTACTCTTTTTCTCTTTTCTCTCTTTTTAAATTCTTATTCTTTTTCTCTTTTCTATCTTTCTTCTATTCCTTTCCTTATCTCAATACCCTTTTCTTTCTTTCCTTCATCTTTCTTTTCAATATACACTCTATATTATTCTCCTTCCTAATTCTTATTCCTCTCTCTCCCTTTCCTTTTACTTTTTTCTTTCTTTTTCTTTTCTACTACTTATTCCTCTGATTTTTCTTCCTATCTCTATCTCCTCCTCTTCTCCCCTCACACTTTCCCTTACCTTTCCTCTCCTTCCTTTTCCTCTCCTATAACATTTCTCTTCTTCCTTTTCTCTCTTTCCTCTTCCCCCCTCTCCTCCTATCTTCCTCTTTCCCTTCCTTTCTCTTCTTCTTTTTTCTTTTCCCTTTCTCTATTCTATTCTACCTTATTCTTCTTTTAATTCTCTTCATATTCCTTCTCTCCCTCTTTATTTCCTTTCCTTATTTTCCTCGGGGTTGTGTGTTAGTTCGTATCTTCCCTTTTATTCTCCCTTTCCTTTATCTTTCATCTCTCTTCTTTTTTTTTTTCTTCCCCTCACTTCTGGGGGGCTGTTTTGGGGGTGGGGGTGGGTGTGTCTGTGTACCTAATGCCTCTTTTGTTTTCGCGCTGCTTGTTTCTAATCCTGTCCCTATTGTTGTCGCTGTGGGTTCCTCGTTTCACCCTACCTTCCTCTAATTTTGTCATCTTTCTTTTTTTTCTCCTTCTATCCTTTTCTCTCTATTTCTATTTTTTTTTTCCTTGTCTCTCTATCTATTCTCTCTCTCTCCTCTATATCTCTTTTCGCTTTCTTCCTTTTGAGATCGCCCGTCGCAATTCCTTCTGTCATTTATTCGTAGCTTCTCTTTTTGCTCTACTTGCTTTTATGTCTCCCCTTCTTTTTCTATCCTCCTCTTCTCTCTTTATTCTTAACGCATTGCTCCCTCCATGATGCAATCTATGCTCAAATGCTGTCTCCAAGTGCCAATGTGCTGCCGTGCCATGCAAATTCTATGCAATGCTGCTCCATGCAAATGCTGCGTTTGGCTCTATGGCAATCTATGCAATGCTGCCTCTCCATGCAATGCTGCCTCTATTCAATCTATGCAATGCTGCTCCATGCAATCTATGCCAATGCTGGTCTCCATGCCCAAATCTATGCCCCAATTGCTGCCTCCTATGCAATGCTGCCTCTATGCAATTATGCAATGCCTGCCTCTATGCAATGCTGCCTCTCTATGCAGCGAAGGGGCGTCCTCTAGGGCGCCTCTAGGGCGGCTCACAGTGGCTGCGTGGGTGAGATAGCACTCTCGCCCTCTCAGCAGGAGAAGGGTCCTGGGGGGTTCGGTGAATCCCGGGGGTTTGGGGACCAGGGGCCTTTCTGAGTGGAGTATGCATGTTGCTCTCGTGGGTCTGCGTAGGTTGCCTCCGGGTTTCTCCGGTTTTTCCCTGACACTAAAAATATTGTACAATCGGTCTTCTGGCCATTGTGCCTCCTGTTACTGGCACCCCACTCCCAAAAATAACAATTGTAAACCAGCTTTCTTTGAGACTCCGATATGTGCAGTGGAAAAGGCGGGTAGTATAAATAAAGATTACTACTACATTAAGAAATAAGATTATAAAGCTGAGCCTCTATGGCAGATCTATGCAATTGCTGGCCTCCATGCGCAATCTATTGCATTGCTTTAGCCTCCGATGCAATGCTGCGTCCATGCAAATCTATGCAAGTGCGTGCACTCTCACGTATGCAAGTTGTCGTTATGCAATGCTTGCCTCCCATGCAATGCTGCCTCATGCTCTATGCAATGCTGCTCGTATGGTTGCTCGAATTGCTGACTTATGGCAATGCGTCCTCCATTGCAATGCTCCCACGCCTCCAGATTTAGGCAGGGGCTCTTTCCCAACGGGTGAGGAGAGGCCTCCTCTGGCGCCCATTTTTCCCGGCACACAAGCGCGGCTTCCTTTTTGGGGGGATCTGAGATCAGCTTCAGTGCAATCGATCTCATTGCTGCAAGTGTCACTGCCAGGGGTCAACGCGCCAAACAAATTAAAATAATTTTTATTGTATTAATTGTGTGGTCTTTGGGGTCCTCTTGCGATCGCATAGGATTGAAATGAAGTGTAGTTGGATGCCGCGGTTCAGGACTGAAAGACGAGTCCTGCCAGCCTCGAGCTCAGCCAATCACACAGGCTCTGCCAGCCGCGAGCCTTCAAGCCAATCACCAGCCAGGGGCCAGAACGCCTCCTGGCAACCTCTCTCAGAGCAAATGCGGGCAGTTTTTAAAAGGCAGCCAACTTCTGACAAACAACGCTTCTGGAGGCTCTTAAACACCCAACCATCCTCCCCAGCAAACCCCTCTGGCTCTTGGATCCCGCTCTGGCTCCCGCTCTGGCTCCCCTCTAGGCTCCCACTCCGGCTTCTGCTCCGCCCTACCGGCCCCATTTCACACCATACTCTAGCCACCACCAGGCTTGTCCCGGGGGATCTGAGATCATCTTCAGCTTGCAAGTCGAAAATTCTCATTGCTGCAAGTGTCCACTGCCCCGGGGTCACAGCGGGCCCAAACAAATAAATTAATTTTATTGTAATTAATTGTGTCTTTGGTCTTCTTCAGATTGAAACTGCTATTGCGGGCAGAGGTAATTTATTTTTTTTCTGTTTGCCCTCCGCCGGGCGGGGGTTTGCATTAAAATAACCTCATCCTCACAGTTCCTGTTCTTTCAAGCTATAACTTATAGGACTGGATATAGATGGACATTTGTAACTCTGAGCTCAATGAGCGGAAGGAAACAGTTTTTACTCCGACTCGCTTTGGCTTCCTATTTGACTCATGTTACAAACAGGGAGGTTTCAGCGTTTTTTCCATGATCGGGATGTTTATTACTTTGATATTGTGCTTTGTAAATATGAGTCCAGATGATTTTGTAGAGTGGAGAGGAGCCATATTCAGGGCATATTGACGATTGCAGTTTGTTTGTCATACAGATGCTCTTTCGGGAAATCTCCAGCGTGACTAGGGTGCAGATAAATGACGCAATGTTTGTTTTTAGAACGTCTGACAGAACGGGACATGGTCGAGATATCAGTTATAAATGAGAAAAGAATAATTGGCTTGCAGGCTTTGTGCAAATTAGGTGGTGGTTTTGTGTTCTTTTGTGCGCTCTTGAGGTGTATTCGGTGACATTTAGAGAACAGGGTGTATTGAGTCGCGCGCACTGCTTATTATACTGTCAATGGGCTGGTCTGGTAAAAAAATTGTATTGGACTAGAATGTGAGTTCAGAGATAAAAGAGTAAAATGGTGGTCTCTTGCGACTAGTCTACTGTAACACTATAGCTGAAGCAAGAGGATGAATCACTCGAGCTCACAACGGAAAATATGCTTCGCAGAAATCGTAGGTCTTCGGGTGTGACTAATGACTAAGAGGTAGAGAAATATGTGTGGAGGGTAGTTGATGTTGCAGAGCTTGTATTTTATCCCCGGTGGGTTAAGGCCAATCGAATCTCTTTGGGCGCAGATTTGACCTCATCCGTCGAGTGGGGTCCGCGGGCGCGAGAGGGCTTACGTCAGGATGGCGCTTCTAAATGTGGTCGCTGTTGTAGTACTCACAGTGCCCGTGGAACCCATGGCTTTGTCAGGGACCGGGAGCTGGAGGATATTTATACCGGTAAGGGTTGGGTTGCGGTAGAGGGGTTAGTGAGCAGTGAGATGGTAGGGTGGTAGGGGATGGGAGGAGAAGAAGGCGGTTAGTAGGAGGTACCCGATAGGAAAACAAACCTACTCGACAGAGGCAGAAGGGTGGAGCTAGAGAAGGGTGAACATGCAAAACGTCCACTCAGAATAAAGACCCTTTTTGTGTTTTTCCAACCTGGGATTTGTGAAACTCCAGGGACCTGCTGGAGGGTTGCGCTTCTAAACTTTCCTCTCGGTCATTGTGTCCTCTGCCTCTGCTTCCATAGCTTCATTTGTTGTGCAGCAAATCACCGGCCCAGCACCACGCTAATCGGATTGTGTTTCATCACTGGAATTACAACGAGACCGGTCCAACACACGGCCATGCTTTGAAGGAGAAGAGGTCCCGAGAATCCCAGCATGTTTACAAGAAGAGGTTACGATACAACCATTTGGGTGAGTTGTAATGAATAGACTTCAGGAAAGAGCAAGGGAGGATCAGAGGTGTATGGCTGAGCCATGTGAGAGTGCTCTCTTGAACAGGGATAGAGTGTCGCCTCAGTTTCGCTGGGGTTTCCTCGCCGGGGGGCGGGCTGGGGACGATACGTTATCAGAAACTCGCGAGACCCGTCGTAATCGCGTCGTGGGGTCTAGGCTGGTGAGTAAGAGGGGGAGCTGAGGGGGTACGTTGAGGCGGATGTGACCTCTGGTGGTTTGTAGGTTTAGTAGGTTGAGTGTACTGTGCTTCTTCGCTCAGCTGAGCACGCCGGGGGATTGGCAAGACAGAAGAAACGTGTATGATATATACAGCTGATTGGTGTTCTGGTTTGTTGCCTGATGTGGATAGAATAATAGGGGAGCCGGCTGTGGTTTATTAACAGCCATAGCGCGCGTGCAAAGAGCTATTTAGCAGCTGTAGCGCTCTTTATGTGTGTCCATGTTGTGGGTGGTTCTCTGTTTTTTTTTGTCGAGCGGTTGAGGTAACAGTTTTGAGGTAGAGTGGTGTGGGAGTTGTGGCACACAAGCTAAGTAACGCTCCCGCACGCAAAACAGACTTGTATGACACAAATATTTTTTTGCGCTCACCGCCTATTGTTGCATGAGTTCGACAAGGACAACGCTATTGTCTCCATGAAATGGTGGTGGTTTACATTTGGGGCTCTTGCATGTCTGGCTTCTTGTTTGTTGACCTGGAGCGAGTCGTGACGCGTAGGTGTGTTGTCGTCGATGCTCATGATGTCGAGAGGCAAGTGCGCGAGGCCCACCGAACCCTCCACTCATGTCGCCCCCGCTCGGCCCCCCGCTTTCTATATATCAGTAGTTTGAAACAGCGCTCGACGCGCGACGGTGTTTGATCGGGTTGTGTGTGAAAAGAGACTGCGTGGTTTCCTCTCCATTTTGTTGACAATTCCCACAAAAGATGACCGCTCCACCACACCAGGACTAGCCCCACCGTCCCGGAGTTCCATACTGTTTAGCCGTCCACACCCCCCGTTTCTATCTTTTTTCCTCCCCTTCCCACGTTTCCATAATCTTACCCCCTAAGATCCCCCCCTCCCCACCCCCCTAACTTCCCCCTCATCCTTTCAATATAATACCTACCCCAACCCCCTCCCAACATCCCCCCAACTCTTAAAAAAACTTTCGTCAAATCCATTCCGCCTTGTGATTACCCCAGTGTTGGTGTGTTACCCGGCTCATACCTCACCCCACACTCATACTTCACCCTGTGATTATTTGGTGCTACTTCGGTCTAGTTTTGGAGGGCGATAACTGTATCACATCCTATTTGTATACATATCCCCCTCCCGCATAACCATCGCCCCCTCCCCTACCTCACCCCAACCACTGGTACTAATTTTTTTTGGGTTTAACTTCAAAGTTGTTGTCCCCCACCCAACCACCCACTTCCTAAACTTACCCCAAGCGCCTTCCTGAAAACAATGACTAATTATTCTTTCCCCCCAATGCTCCAATATCGCTCAGACAACCGTATCCCCACACACCCCCCCTGCGCGCACCTCGTAACTCCCAAAATCCAACCTAGTGTTTCTGTTATTTGTCAATCTATAACATAAAATAACGTTCTTTCCACTAATTCTATAATTTTTAAAGTCTTGCCCCTCAAATACCCTAGATCTGCTCCCAACCCCAGCATTCCTAAGTCCCCACATCCCTCTCACCTCCTTCACAAACGATTGTTAGATTTTGTGTTTTATATTTTCTCCTGTGAGAGAGAGAATTCCGTTGTTAACCCCAACCCATTCCCCCTACCTTAGATAAAGATACTTTGAAAATTACCTCTTCCCTCTGAGAGTGTTTAGCCAACCTTAGTCCCATAAAACAAACTCTATTGTGTCCCCTACCATGCTATCACGCATTTTTTTTTAGATAATAACCCCCCCCATATAATCAAACCCTCCATATAAAACCCCATCCCATCTCCTTCCTGCATTGGTTCTAGATTGTGATGTTGCTCATCATTCATCTCTCTCCCCTGACTTTTTATGAATTTATTTCCGTCCATTACACCCCCTCACAAAACCCATACCCCCCAAAAAAAACCCATCAAATTCTATCACACCCCATAAGACAAGAATCAATTCCCTCCCTCTATTATTACTTAGATATTAATAAAATATAGAACTATAATACTTGTTTAATAACCCAAAAACTCCCAAATAATTCTCAACTATACTCCATATACACCCCCACCTCAACCCCCCAAACTACCCCCACAACTCCCCCAACCCATACAAAAACCTCCCCACCCCACCCTGACATTAATCTTACCTCTCTACTTCTCATATCTATATCAATACCCCCACAATTAACCAAACAAACACAAACCCCCCCCCCAACCCCACCTCCCCACCACCCCCCCCACCAACCCCCCACATCACACACCCCCCCCCCACCACCCTCCTCCCCCACCCCCCTCTCCACCCCCCCACCCACCCCCCCCCCCACCCCCCCCCCCCCCCCCCCCCCCCCCACCAACACTCACAAAAAACACACCCCCCAAATCCACACTACACCAATACCCCCCCCCCCCCCCCCCCCCCCCCCCCCCCACCCCCCCCCCCCCCCCACCCCCCCCCCCCCCCCCCCCCCCCCTACCACACCCCCCCCACCCACAACCCCCCCCCCCCCCCCACCCCCCCCACCCCCACAACCCCCCCCACACCCCCACACCCCCACCCCACCCCCCCACCCCCCACCAACACCACACACCCCCCCCCCCCCCCCCCCCAACACACCACACAACCCCCCCCCAACCCCCCACCCCCCCCCCCCCCACCCCAACAACCCCACCAACCCCCCCACCCACAACCACCCAACACCCCCCACCACCCCCAACCATATATCATACTCCAAACCCCACCACCCCAACCCCCCCCCCCCCCCCCCACCCCCCCCCCCCACCCATCACACCCACCTCCAACACCACAATCAACCTCCCCCCCCACCACCACCCACCAACCACCCCCCCCCCACCCCCCCCCCCACCCCACCAACACACCCCACCCCACCCCCACCCCACCCCAAAAAACCCCCCCCCCCCACCCCCCCCCCAATCCCTATCACAATACATACCCCACACCCCACCCACAACCCTACCCCTCCCCACAACCCCAACACCCCAACCCACACCCCCCCCCCCCCACAAAACTCATTCCAACACCCCAACCCCCCCCCCCCCCCCCTCACCCACACTATTTTCAATCCCCCACATCCCCCCCCACCCCACCCCCACCACCCACCCCACACCCCCCCCAAAAATCTACTAATAATCAAACCAAAAATCCCCCACCATTATTACCCCTATATATATTAATATAGATATAGAGATCATAGAGAATGTTAAACACCCTCCTTACACGTATCACATCTATTATTAATAGATAGATAGAACCCCCCCCCTTCAAACTATACTTCACTCTCCCCCCCAAACACTACCCCCCCCCCCACCCCTCCACTGAGTCACTTTCGACCCATCCCCTCACCAAAACATTCCTAAACCCCTCACACCCACCCACCCATCAAATTTATTTAACACCGCCCACACCCCCGCCATTTCCTCCTCATTAGACAAGACTCTCAAAACCATCCAACCACGATAACTCCTACCACTATATATATCTGGCTGAGAAACATTATAACTCCTATCAGACACCACCATACACAAAATCTACCCCCATCAAAACTATTTATCCAGATATCTCTCAGGATAGCAGTATGGAGCAATACTTCGCATACACAACACTAGTCCTCCACTCCCTCTCACGGAGCGGTTGGTGCGACCCATCACTCAGCGCGTCCGACGACTCTACATAACGACCACAAATCAGAAAGATATGATATCCACCCAGTCCCACCCTCTCCAAAGACCCCCATAAGACTCCTCTTTCTGGTGCTATGGTCTGAGTGCGGATAGAATTGTGTGTGTGGTGTGTGTGTGTTGCGTAGTTCTTGTGTGCTACTTGTGTGTGTGTGTGTGTGTGAGATAAGTCTTCTTCGCATAGATAGATGGGTGTGGGGTTTACTGGGCGTTGTGATTGTTATGATGATTTATTAACCCAGAATCGCTGGCCTGTCCGGATATATGCCGGCCCCCCCATCTTTTAATTCTTTCTAATCGTGTGGTTGGGCTGTGGCTTTCTTAGGCCGATAGAGGGTCTCATTTTTGTTAAGGATGCAGATTGAAATGTAGTGGGGTTCCCAGAAGCTACTATGTTTGACGGATGTTTCACAGTACATTTATCACGGTAAATTATCGCCCTGGTGCAATGCGAATGCTTGGACGGGAACTGGGCTGGGTCGAAACATTAGTGCTGCGTTTAGAATTCGACGTTAGATAATGTATTCCTGGTTTGCTTTAGATTTTGTAATTGACGGCTCGCGCAGTATTAACTTACGACTCCGATGGACGTTCCTAGTTAACTACGGGATGGCGAAGGAAGGTCTCGATTTGGGTTCCCGACACTTTATTTTTCTACGCGTGTTCCCAAGCTCTAGATTGTCTAAATCTGTACTTATTTCAAAATATGTAAGCTTGAGCACAATATTTTATTCAACTGCCTCAGACTGAAGGTGCGATGTGGGTCGCGGCAGATTTGCCTCTATGGAAACTAGGTTTAGCATCTTTGTAACAACAATGTGCCTGTTCAGCTTTGTGTATTGTCTTCAGTCACTTTGTCATAGCGTAGTTGATTTCAGATAAAGAACGACTTACCTCTGAGAACTCTCGCGAAAACTGAGGGCTTATCCATGGTGGGAGGGGGACGAAACAAGCGAAGCTTTCAGTAACCAAAATTTATGTTGTGGAGGTCTCTTCTGTAAAAGCCATGATGCAGGAGCGTCCGAAGTTTTCTTCGCGACGGATTAGTTTTGGTGGATGTAGATTGTGATGATTTAGATGGGTCCTAGTAACTCACAAGTAGTTCCGGTTCGGGTCTTGAATAATTCAGGTTAAAATAATCATCAGAAACGGCTAGACAATTATGGGAAGATGGTACCTGTATCCTGAAATGAGGCTCTGCAGTCAATCGCATGTGTCTGATGAAGGGGACCGCGTTATTTCTAATGAATCGATCCTTTCTAGGAGAGCTGTAGTCTCGCGCCAGCCAGGAGCACAGTCGAGAGCTCAGCGTATCGCGTGTGTGTGGGATCTTTCAGTTTTGGGATTTGTGACCCGCCTAGTAGATGTGGTATGATGATGTATTTCATTCGAAAGCCAGCGGCCTAGTCTCTAGTATATTATACACTCACTCACAGGGGCCATTCTCTGTTGTTGTTGTTGTTGGAAACACGGACACCGGAGCGAGAACGGAGGTGAGACACTGCGACTGGAAATGTGCAAACCCAAAGCTCGCAAAATATAAAGCTGGGGTCACTCTTACCTTTTCCCTTTTTCTATTAAAAGTCTTGGTGGATAGTACCCAAAAGTAGAGAAGGTTGCAGTGAGCAATGGTCAACAGATTTTTTTTTTTAAGTTAACATTTGGTTTAATGAATACCAATGTGTCATTTAATTTGAAAATCTCAGTTTTAACTATCAATTTGGACAGTGGATTGTGACTTTAAGTGCGAAGTTTGTTAGACAAAGAAAAGTGCCGATTAATGCTGTGAGGCTTACTCTCCATTACTATGCTTTCTCGGATTAAGTCAGGTAGAGCTCGATAGAAAACAATGGTAATTCGTTTTTTTTGACATAGCCCTATGAATAAATAATTAACATCTGTTATCATCCTCGGATTCTAATCTGACATGTTACAAATATTGGGTTTTTTAGCCATTCATTTTCCAGTCATTGTCCCCAATGTTCTCTTTTTCTTACTGATGGACTGGATGGGAAAGGAGTTGAAGAATAGCTAGTGAATCTCTCTTGGTTTTCAGTAGTAACGCTCGGGTGTCTGGTCACCTCCTGTGGCTCTCCAGATTTTGGTGTCGCGAAGTGAATTTCCTCTGATGATCGCTTATGTTTTCCGGTTCCACTTTTTTGCATGGTGCGCCCCTCCCCACCATTCTGGACCTTTTTTATGGCGCTGCCTGTTTCTAGTTTGCTTTGTCATTATTTCTGGTGAGCAGCAGGTAATGGAGCCTGGGTTGACACTTGGCATGAGAAGGCTTTTCATTTGATCTATCATTATCTGTCCAAAATGACCTCTCGCTCCGTCCAAAGCTCTGGGTTGAGACTATCATTTAATGTTCGCAAAATCTTCATCAAGTTCACAGTGCAAAACGCTCAAGGGTTTTGACTCCTGCTGCATCCTCTTTATGGTGTGTTGTATCTGCACCTGAATCTTTTTCTGTGGCTCGGTATTCTGGAGTATGGGTAGCTGTTTGGTTAGGCGAGGTTTCTTCTCTCCAAATCTAGATGGGGACATGAGTGCAGACGTGTTGGATTGTGCTCCTTATTTGGGGGAGTCTTGCACAGATGGAGATGTGAGTTCTCTTTCTTTCTTTCTTCCATCATCTTCGCCTCTACTTAATACCTCCGGTTTTAGTGATTTTATGTGTTGAGGAGTTGAGATATCTCCGGTAACTTTGAGGGCTGATCTCGTATGGCTGGCATATTCCCATTAAAGAAGTCCAAGATAATAGTAGTCGCTTGGAGGATAGGACGCAGCTGTTAGAACCTAAACAGCGTCCTATTCTTTTCGAATTTATGATTTCTCGTGTGGAGTGTCACGCTGCACTCGCGCTCATTGAAAGAAAAATTCCATGGTGCAGATACACCTACACATAATGGCATTGCAGGCGCAGGATTCACCTTAGTTTTGCACTGTAGAATGTGTGAGTAATTGGATTGTAGAGAATGTGTAATCCAGAGAGAGCTTTGTGTGCATTTTGAGACAGATAATGTAGATGTCAAATGTAAGCCTTTCTTGCCAACTGTCATCTGGATTTTGATACCATGACCTGCTGCTCACAATACATAATGAAAGCACGAGCACATGGCTGCCATATAAAGTCCCCTACTCTGCAAAAAGATGAGACGGAGTAAAATAAGATTCAGATTCAATTCCACAATGGTGGAAGACCAGAGGTGTAGAGACTGTAAACAAGAGGGATGTAGTATTTTTCACCTCTTTCATCAGTCCATCAGTAAGGAAAAAGAAGAACATGGGACCGGCATGACTGGAGAGAGATGATGAAGGCTAAAATTTTGCCATATGTTTGGAGTGGATGATTGTTACAGTAAATTATTTATTTTAGGGCTGTCAAACGATTAATTGTTTGTTAGTTGATTAATCGCATTAGTAATGGTGATGTTTTTAAACTCACGATTTATTTTGCATGTGTAACATTCTACTTTTCGCAAATCCACTCCTCTACTTTGAAGGTATAGTAAATATGTGAGAGAGTTTTGGTCAGAAGATTGTAATTGACACATGTTATTTCATACCAATGTACCTTAAATCTGTTTGAACTTGCTCTCTACAGACCTGCTTACTTTTGGGTACAACTCAGAAGCAAGAGCGCATGTTACTGAAAGGCGAAATAATGTAGGTAGAGCTCCTCCCAGCTTTTAATTTTAGCTGAGTTTGGTTGCATTTCAGCGTCAGGGGTTACTTCCTTCCTTCTTCTCTCTCAATGTGCGGTGTGTCGACAGAGTCACAATACATCAGAGAATGGCCCCTGTGTGTGTATATATATATATGCGATGTATCAACTATGCCCACATTTAGCTGGCCTCGGCGCATCGCCCAAGTCCGACTCGGGAGCAGACCACGGCCATACGAGTGGTACCGGGCAGTTGCTGAGGGAGCAGGGTGTATTCTTATAAATAGGGGGTCATTCGGACATGCGATTGCTGCCAGCCTATTTCAGAACCAGGTACTCCCATTATTTGCCAGCCGGTTTCTGATGATTTGTACTGAATTTTCAAGACCCACAGAATATTGTGTACTATGGGACATTCTGAAAATCTAATTAACCATATTCTGAAAGACTGGACTGTCTGCGTTATTAATGTAAGCGAGAGTAATGACAGTTATTGGTTGTTAGAGGATTGATGAGTCTCGCTTTAGCTTTGTTTATCTTGTTCCTCTCTTGGTAATAGATCAGCAGCACGTTCCAAGGGTAGAGGTTGAGTTAAGGTTTAGAGTTGTCGTAGATAATAAGTGTTTCACACCAGAGAATAGTCTGACGAGATAGTGAGGTAGATTGTATTTGGACATACTGCTGTTTGTGTCAGTTATCCATTAGCTTACTGCAACGTTAGTAACATGATGCCATTGCTGGCTTGATTAAAATATTGCCTCAAGCCTTACATATTTGATACAATAAGACATCTGGACACGTGAAAAAATAGCGGGAAACGCAATTGACGTGTTTAACCCGGTTCAATGGCAGTTAAATGCGTTAATGGAAAAGGTAATTACTGTGAAAATTAACGCGAGAATTTTGACAGCCTCGCTTGACAGGGATATTCCGTGATAAATTGTATGATCAAATAGTAGCGTGGTAGCCATTTATTTTCGCGTCGTGCAGTTCCCGAATAAATAGACTCTAGGTTCGCTCTCTAAAGACCACGCCCCCTCACCTACGGGACCGCCCAGCATTCTGCGGC